TAGCCAAAACAATCCCGATGCATCATTTATGGGGGAACCTTCAAACCTATTTCAAGATGAAACGCCCGGAGAAGAACAATGGGATACTGAAACTCCAATTATTATAGTGGAAGAGAATCGCTTAATAAAGTGGACCAGAAATCATCCAACAGACCAAATCATCGGAGATCCCAACTTAGGCATTCAGACTAGAGGCGCATCACAAATGAATGTTTATTTGGAGCCTTCTTATCCACGAATGAACCCAAAACCATACATTCTGCTATAAAAGATCCAGATTGGGTAAAAGCTATGCAAGAAGAGCTAGCAGAATTTGAAAGAAACGACGTATGGAATCTTGTTCCTACTCCACCCGATGTTACTGTTATAGGTTCAAGATGGGTATACAGAAACAAGACTGACGATCAAGGAATCATTTGTCGAAACCAAGGCACGTTCTTGTAGTCAAAGGATATTCACAAACAAGGGAATCAACTATGATGAAACATATGCTCCAGTTGCCCGAATTGAAGCAATTCGCATCTTTCTTGCATATGCTGCCATAAGAATTTCAAAGTATTCCAAATGGATGTTAAATGTGCATTCCTACATGGAGAGATAGATCGCGAAGTATACATCCAACAACCACCAGGTTTCGAAGATCCCAAATTTCCAGATCACAACTTTAAATTGCAGAAAGCTGTCTACGGCTTGAAACAAGCACCTCGAGCTTGGTATGCCACGTTGTCAACCTTTCTCGAAGAATCAGGTTTTAAAAGAGGTTCAATTGATCAAACCCTCTTTCGTAAAATCTTTAATAAACATCAATTAATCGTACAAATATATGTTGATGACATTATTTTCGGTTCTACTGATGAATCTTTAAGTGTTAAGTTTGCAGATCTAATGAAGAGCAAATTTGAAATGAGCATGATTGGGGAGATGACTACTTTTCTCGGAGTTCAAATCAAACAGTCAACTGATGGCATTTTCATCAACCAAGAGAATTATGTCAAAAACCTACTCACTCTTTTTTCAATGGAAAAATCCAATACCGCAAAAACCCAATGGCTTTGGATACAAAATTGATGCAGACTTAAATGGCAAAACCCGTGACCAGAAAAGATATCGTGGAATGATCGGATCACTCTTGTACCTCATTGCCAGCAGACCTGACATCATGTTTTCTACATGTGTTTGTGCTAGATACCAAGCAAATCCTATGGAATCCCATGTAGTTGTTGTGAAACGCATCTTCAAATACCTTAAAGGCACTCCCAAACTTGGCCTTTGGTATCCAGGTAAATCCGATTTTCAGCTGAACACTTTCACCGACTCAGACTACGGAGGATGCAAGCTAGATAGGAAGAGTACATCTGGTAGCTATCAATTCCTAGGAGGTAGACTAGTGAGTTGGACTTCAAAGAAACAGACTTGTGTATTCACATCAACAGCAGAAGCTGAATATGTCGCTGCCGCCAGTTGTTGTTCACAAGTCATATGGATGCAAACTCAACTGCGTGACTATGGCTTCAAAATCTCACAAATTCCCATATTTTGTGACTCAACCAGTGCAATTGCCATTTCTCACAATCCCGTTCAACATTCCATGACAAAGCACATCGATATTCGATATCACTTTATCAAAAGACAACATTCAAAAGGGTCATATCGAACTACACTTCATCAACTCGAAGATCAAATTGCCGATGTCTTCACTAAGGCTCTCGATGAAACGAAGTTTCAATACTTCCTAGGCCGTCTAGGAATGTTAAATCCAGATAACATCCATCCTTAAACTTTTACTTTTTGTTTGTACAAAAGTGTGTTTACTTTCACTCAAAAAGAAAATTCAAAAACATTTGAAAACTGCTTTCTTTTCAAAAAACCAAAAAACATTGAAATAACCAATATTTCCAAAAACATTCAGAAAAACAAATCTTCAAAAATATAATAAAAGACTTGCCGTAATAAGCTTTTATAGAACCTTGTGATTAATCGTCTTTTGACTTAATTTTCAGATGCTTATGCTCGATGAAGATTTTAAGTCATATTGATTCTCAATTGGAGTGAAGGTTCAAATCTCCTACTTTTCATAATGTACATAACTTTATTTCCTTCAATTTTATTTCATTATTGATGATTTTAAAAAGGGACATAAGGTTAGGAGGTTCAGATGAAAACAAAAAACCATGTGAGAATTTGTGCCTCATCAATCTGAATCATTGTCGAATTCATTTCTTGTGAGCTTAGGTGTGTCACTATTGCTTATAAGGTATATCCGATTATACCTTGTCACGGTCTCATTTTTGCTTAGATATCAAAATGACCAGGGAAGATACATTCATTTCTTACATACTAGACAAATTGTCTTTTATGCCACTAATCCCTACCTAAATATAAGCCAACCAAAAATGATGTCTTGAGATCCCGTGATCCATCAACAAGAAAAGACGAAACAAGATAAAGAAGAATCAACAAGAAAGCCAAATCATTCACCGAAGAAATACCAAACAAAACAAAAAAAACTCTACATTTGGTATTTTCAAACAAAGTTCAACCAAATGGTTATTTCAAAGCAAACATCAAAAGAGCTCGTGATCTGTTTTTAACCATTTTTCACAAAAAGGGATATCTTAATCCCGCAAGATAGATACTCTCAGAAATCCAAATTTTCTCAAATGTAGCAAATTCTCGATGCTAAAACAAAATATCCTTTTACAACAAAAAGACATTGATCAACAAAAAGGATACCATCAAAGAAAAAGCTGCAACAACAATGGATTTCCCGGGATACTGTAGCCTTCATCACTGAAGATTCTTAGTTTCAAACTGCACTATGAAAATTGCTAAACCCCTCTACATGTATTTCCCGACGGAGAGAGAGTGAACTTAAATGGCATGAATGAAGAAACCCGCTGAGTAATGCCGAAACCAGTCTTATGTGATTGATTATCTAATAATGAGACTAAGTGACCTTTCGGGAAAAGCATAGTTGAACACCTCCAATATGAGTGTGAGTCGTCAGAGAGAGATATCACTCGTTTTTAGAAATCATTAACTTGTTCTGCTGCCAGAACAACCAAACACCCAAGTGAAGTGTGAGCTATACCTATGAGCGTTCATCTGAATCGACCTGTTAAACCACTTGTCGTCATTAATAATGCTATAAAATCTTAAGAAATTTCTTTAGATACATATATGGATACCCTTTGATAACCGAACCTAAGACTTTGATTCGGAAACAAATTTCTGAAAATCTTTTACATAAGATATGTTAAACCAAGTCACAAACTTTCAAATCAATTGCTATGGTTTTATATATATAATATATATATATATATATATATATATATATATATATATATATATATCTTATCTATTGACAAATCTTTTATCTCAAATCTTCAAAAGTTAAACTGTCAATATGATTATATCATACCTGTCCTTATTTCAGCAATGATCACATAGGGGGAAATTGTTGAAAAATGTTCTTATGTAACCTTGTATGTGACCATAACTGAAATAAGATGAACTGTTTTTTATACAATCTAACAAATATTATCAGTTATTTCAGGTTGCATGAATGCGTGATAAAACGGAAAATACGAAAACACGCGAATGATGAAAACACATATGTGTGACTAAAAAGTTTCACCAATATATATATATATATATATATATACGTATGTATATATATGTATTATATATGTATGTGTTATATATATATATATGTATTATATATATATAGATATGTATATGTGTTGAATAGTCTACAAGTTGAAAAGTCAACAAGGAAAAGTCAAGACACACAACTTACACTTCCTAGCTCTACAAACAACTTGCATACACCAGCCAATTACTTTCAAAAAACACTCAAGTGAAGAAGATATTTGTTTCTCTCATATATGTATACGTGAGTATGTAGTGTGTGTGTGTGTGTGTGTGTTCATTTTGTAATATTGTAACACTCACTACTAGAAAAAAGGCCTTTTACGACGCTCATTGCGCGTCGTAAAACGCTCAGACGACGCGCAAATGCGCGTCAAGGAAGGCCCTGTCATAAAGAGAGATGGTGCGCTTTTGCGCGTCATCTATAGACGACGCGCATTTACGACGCGCGGTTATGACACGCAATGCGTATCAAGGAAGGCCCTGTCATAAATGAAGACGACACGCGTTTGTGTGTCGTAACCTTACGACGCGCGTGTTTATGACACGCAATGCGTATCAAGGAAGCCCCTGTCAAGAAAGGCTATGTCATAAATGAAGATGACACACATTTTTGCGTATCATAATTTTAAATGTTCTAAAAAAATATATTTATTCATTTATTAATTTTTAAATTAAATTTGCATTTAATGTCTCATAACAGAAAATAAAATACCATATACAAAAAATACAATCCTATCCATAAAATTTATTGTCATACAAATAACAAACTGTATTTCATATTCATACATATGATTACATTATTCATTAAAAAAAACATATACCTACATCTTCCCCTAAAATGTTATTACATGATGCTGGCTACTTCATTGATGGATCACCAAGAGGAAAAGCAACAACTACCCTAAATGTTCCATGATGTGCCGATACTCATGTCCTGTAACTTTAAATATTAAAGAAAGTAAAATACCTCCTAAAAATAAAAATACACAAGAAACAACACATCATAATGAGAAACTACTAACATGAATGGAAGAAGTACACTATAAATTTGTTTTACTAAGAGTGGCATGGACGATCAGGTGCTACAAAGTTTTTCCAAGCTGCCAAACAAAGACTGCATGCAAACCAAAACATACGTACACTATAAATTTAATTATCATACAAATCATATTCATACATACGAGTTTGTTTTACCTTTTTTTTCCTCATATCTTTATCTTTTTTATTCTTATTATCCATTGAGTGTTGGTGTTTTCTTTTCTCTCGTTCAATCAACCCTTTGTTTTACTTTGAAAAATTAACAATTTCCCTACCAGTTGACTTTGCATCAAACAGAAAAAAGTAAGTCAATCAATAGTCAATGGTGAATACCAACTACAAGTTTTTACTGAAGTAACCTGACACCATAAATACTTTGGTTTAATAAACAGGAACATGTATGTATAAAAATCGCAATCAAAGTAGTTTGGTCTAATACCTCCATTTCTAGTAAGTGTCCAATCATTGTTTGTGAAGGTTGAAGACCTTCAAACAAAAAACTCCCAGCAATGTCATTAATGTGCATCTTAAGAACAGGAAACCATTGTAGTTCATGCACTAGACAACTATGGGTGATCTGAAATATTTCCCAAATATTTATTTATTCTGAATTATAAAAAAATAAAAAGAAAAAGAAAAAAAGATAATACCTTTACTAATTCATTGTATACAAGTCTAGCACATTGAAGACAATGATCCAACAACCGAGCTATTTGTCTTCGAACAAAAACTTGAAGTGGAACCTATATAATTGTATTAAAGGGTTAAGTTTACCAAGCTGAATAACCAACTCAAAAACAAGGATGATGCATGATTACAAGCATCGTAAGGATTTACTGTTGTATCAAAAAATGGAATTAAATTTTTATTTTTATTTATTTCAATGTTCATATAATGAGGAATTAAAAAATGTTATTTATAAAAACAAATATTTTGTTTATTGTGAATATATATATATATATATATATATATATATATATCAGAAATTTTGTTTTTATTTATTTTAATATTATATAACAAGGGTATTTTAGTCTTTTTAACGAAAAATAAATAAAAAACGGAATTGAATTCCTTCCACCCTCCTAATGAAATCCAGCAAACATAGTAATTGTAGGACTCCATCGGAATTAAATTGCCTCGATTTAGCAACCAAACATGCCATGGAATGGAATCTCATATACCAATTCCATCAATGCCCTTGGTTCTTAATTAAAGAGCAATCTATTACCTTGGCAATGTCAAGTTTACCAAGCTGAATAACCAACTCAAATCTATAATCAGGGTCTGTAGTAACTTCCAAGGCCTCTTCAACCTTGCCCCATGACTCCAGAAAATGAGCAACACTATTAAAGAAAACAACCAGAGTTCGTTTGTAAAAAAATATAATATATATTTAAGATAAAAATTTTGGTAATAATAATATAATATTTGAAACTCTACCTATTATAATGCTCCTTTGGGATTGAGGGTAAAACTCCATTAGCTCATTCTATGTCGCCACGCATCACAAGTGTCTTGTACTCGATTAACGTAAGGAGCAAAGTGTAACCACTGAGACTAAAACATAAAAATTAAAGAAAAAAATTAGCATAAATGTTGATGATAATTGTTTATTTAAAGATTATTATACCCACTCACTTGAATTCTTTGTTAATGAGATAAACCCTGCTCTGGTTAGCAAGAAACCCAAGAAGATACATAGGTTGATCCAAATGGAACATTGTGTTAACCTGAAACAAATGTCACATTAAATATTATCAAAAATCATCTCACCCTTCACACCAATCAAAATATGAAACCCAAATAAAAAACAAAACCAATTAGTCATCCAGATCAGGATAATTAATATTTATATTTATATAGTTTGATATAATGGCATCAAAAAGTTACAGGGGTGGAATATTATTAAAACCAGAAGACATACCAATAGAATTAATGTATCCTGAAGTGGACATACATGGTGATCACTAACTATTTTCATACCATGAAACAAAGCCTTAATCAACGACTCCAAAAACATGTTCGCTCATAGAACCCAGATGCTGACAAACGGATGAGTGATAGACATCATCCTCAGACGCTGAACTTTCAACACACTTGTATAAAATTGATTTCTTTCACAGATAAAGTCATTCATTTTCAAAAGACCCTCTCTCTATATTCAAGACCTTATTAAAAAAGCAAGGTTTTAACCAATGCTGGATTATATAGCTCTACTTGGGTGACCTATGTTGGAATAATCCAGAAGTTTAGAAGAATTTATCTAGTTTATTTTTTGAACTTTTAGTCATTATCCTTTCTTCCTGCATTTTAGAGATAAACCTATCTAGTTAGTTTGCTTTGTTTCTTTCAAGTATAAGTAGGAACGTTATTTATGATGTTACAGGAGTTTTTTCAGTTCAATAAAAATCTCAGCAGAAAGTTGGACAAAAATACCCCTTAATTGCTTCTTCTTGTTCTCTGTTCCTTGTTCTTACTTCTTGCTGTTAGATTTAAGCAGCCACCTTCCCTCTACCATCTTCAGATGCAACCACATCACTCAGTGGAGGCCATGAATCAAACTTTGATCTGAAAGAAACTGTCTCAAAATTCTCAATCATTCGAATGATATTGGATTTTGGTCTTTCATGAACACGTAAATGTTCCTGTAAATCAATACGTTATTTATTATAATAAGAACCTTGGAAATTTATATTTATATTTATATAGTTTGATATAATGTTTACTTCTGCAGCTCCATTTGCAGCTTTTCTTTCTTCAAGATTAGTACTTCTTCCAACCCACACATAAATTTCTGTTCCACAATCTAGAAGATAACAATGGTGTGTGTCTAGTAACTTCTTTGTCAATGAATCATCAGCTACAGGTATTGCTTTCCCTTTATGATACATAAAACAAGAAAAAAAAATTAGAATTTTGTTAATTGTTGAATAAAGAGATAGAATAGTAATAGAATAATATAAGAAAATATTACCAAAGTAGCTGAGTAGGATAAGCATGAGTACTTTGAGCATCATTTGTAGTTGTTTTCTTTGGAATTGGAGAAAATCCACCAAAGAAACCCCATAATTCTCCAGCTTCAACATCATCCATTAATCTCCCATCATCTATTCAAATCAAACATATACAAGTAGAAATGAGATTGCAAGGGCTTTTCTGTAATTTTCCGTTTTTATAACATAATGCGCACAAAATCACATGCCAATGGTAGCTATGTCCCACTTGTTACTATGGTAGGTGGTTTTGATATAAGTAGCGTTTTTTTATGAACGCAACTGGTGGAGCAATCTCCAATTGCAAAATTGTTTCAATCGCTAGCGATCTTGAATTGCGTTTTTGGGAACTAATCTGGAAATAATGTTTTAAGTGATGCACCCTGCAATTAGTGAGTAGCGTTTCATCTTCCTTGGCAAGCCATGGTGGCTTGTAGAATTGACAAACTACAAGACCAATAATTAGGATACATAAAAAAGTTACTGAACGAGAAAATTACAGAACCAAAAATTGACAAAACCCTAACCCTTTGATTTCAATTTATTGGCCCTATGAGCGGACGACAATCATCGATTGACTATCAAGCGATCCTTGTAGGCGCCATGGAGCTCTCGAAAGACAAAGTTGATGTCATCCTTGTTAATCAGCTTCTGCATCGCGATTGACTTGCAAGCGAACTGTTGGTGCGTGGTTTTATGAGTGACAAGATGCGTCACACCAAATTGACTTGCGGGAACATCATCCATGGGTCGCCCAAGGATGGGGTTGGAGAGCTGCAAACGGTGATGGTGGATGAAGTGTTGGTGATGACCTGGGTCTCTAACGCAGAAGTTTCAAAGGTGATGACGAGATGCAATCGGGAAGCTAATGGAGCAAAGTTACAGTTCTTCATCTGTGTGTTTTTTGATTTATCTGTGGGGAATCTGAAACAAACAAGAATCAATATTCACATTCCTAATATTGAGACTTGAGAGTATAATTAGGGTTTTTTCTAACAATTTCAACATCGCGTGGGAGATATGGTGGTTCTAGTGGGTAGAAGTAAGTGGGGGAAGGAAGGAGCGTTCATAATTTGGGCAAGAGGGAAAGGAGAAAAAAAGGAAGGCGGGGTTTTTAATTTTTTCAGAATTTCATTTCCCCCTTTCCCCCACTATTAAAGGATGGAACGCGCGTTCCATTAAAAAATATAAAGCGACATCCTTAGATGACGCGCATTTTATTATAGGTGTCCTCCGTGTTTTTTTTAGACACTAATTTAAGGGCGCGCAATAATGCGCGTCTTCTATCCTTAAATTTTTTGAAGAAATGACATTTTTCTAATGTCACTCTCCTTTGCGTAACATAGATCAATGAGCGTCGTATTTTGCGCGTCGTAAAAGGCCTTTTTTCTTGTAGTGACTTCTACAAACTACAAACACTCCCAAGAACATCACAAATCTTCATCTTCCTCAAGAACAAAGACAAATCCCTGGAGCTAAATGAAGAACACCAAGATCAAACAAGAAGCCAAGTGAAGAACACCAAGATTAAACAAGAAGCTAAATGAAGAACACCATCAACCATCTTCATCTTCTTCATTGAAACTAAAGGTTTTTCATCTTCACCACCTTTGATCATCACATCATATACCACCAAACACTTTCCTTACATCAAAACACCAAAACACAACCATGAAACAACCCAAAACCTTCTGCATCAAGATCTACCACAAAACCCATCACTATTCATCATCATCTTCATAAGAAATTTCACCACCTTTATCACCTTATATCAACCTCCTTCCAACCTCTAAACAACCTTGAAAACATCCTCAAAACACCATAACACCATTACCCTAGCCAAAACATCACAAACAAAACTTACCTTCAAATCACAAAAATCCCGAAATTGACTCTGACACGAACACGCCCCGTGTTAAAAATCAAGGCAAAATCAACACGCCCCATGTTGCCCTCTGATTGCCTTCTTCATACTTCTGAACCTCAACATGCCCCGTGTTCAGCAAGGCTAAATCAACACGCCCCGTGTCAGCATCAGCATCATGAACACGCCCCGTGTTCAGCAAGGCTAAATCAACACGCCCCGTGTCAGCATCATTCATCAAGAAAACCCTCCAAAACCCTCCTACACGACCCGTGTCACTTGTACCTTATCTTACACGACCCGTGTGCATGTTTTTACCCAAAAATACCTCAACTACAAATACATAAACCCATGTATTTTGTACCCTATTGTAAACACTTGTTTTACATAAAATCGAGCTTTAAATGAACTTTTTGTTACTTATCCAATGCTGGATTGATCTTTGAACAAATATCGAACAGTCGCTCCAAGAGTCCCAATATCGACCAGTCCATTCAAAGAAAAATTATCGACCAGTCGCTCCAAGAGTCCCAATATCGACCAGTCCATTCAAAGAACAAATATCGACCAGTCGCTCCATAAGTCCAGTTCATTCAATTTATTGACGAACCTACTTGATATATATTTATATATTTATATACTTTATTATAGCTTTATGTCATTTAAATATAGTCATTTATATTATTTATAGCTTTATGTCATTTAAATACAGTCATTTATATTATTTATAGCTTTACGTCATTTAAATACAGTCATTTATATTATTATAGCTTTCAGTCATTTACAGCTTTCATATTTATACTTATTCCGCAATTATTATTCTTTATATATATATATATATATATATATATATATATATATATATTAAACTGATATATCTATCACACAGTAACTGGTAACCGAGCCTTTTGTTGTGGTGATCAGATTGTTATATTTCCAACAAATCGGTATCTGAGCTGATATATAAAAGGAATAATATCCAACAATCCGGATATCACCAGTTACGAGTGCTATAGGCGGATGTTCCAAAAACGACCTTCCGAACTCGTTACAGGCACTACGAGTTCGTGGTGATGCCGTTCAGATTGACCAATACGCCCGAAGTGTTCATGGACTTAATGAGTAGAGTATTGCATCCTTACTTGGATCAATTCGTCATTGTCTTCATTGATGACATCCTGATTTACTCTCGAAGTAAGGAAGAGCAAGGCGATCACCTACGATAATTTTTAACTACTTTACGAACAGAGAAGCTCTATGCGAAGTTCTCTAAATGTGAATTTGGATCTGGAGAGTCGAATTCTTAGGATACGTGGTTAGCGAAGAGGGAATCTACATGGACCCATCCAAAATTAAAGCCATTGAGAAATGGTCAGCACCAAATACGCCTACGGAAATTCATCAATTTCTAGGTCTCGCTGGCTACTACCGCAAGTTCATACAGAACTTCTCCCGGATTGCGAAACCTCTTACTATACTGACCCAGAAGGGAGTGGCCTTTGACTGGGAAGAGAAACAAGAAAAAGTGTTTCAAACGCTGAAGCGAGCCTTATGCACCGCACCGATACTATCGCTCCCCGAAGGGATAGAATACTTTGTTGTATACAACGATGCATCCAACCAAGGGCTCAGTTGTGTTCTGATGCAACTAGGTAAGGTCATCGCCTATGCCTCGAGACGGCTGAATACGCACAAAGTCAACTACACCACACTCGATCTTGAGCTGGGGGCAGTTGTGTTTGCCTTGAAGATCTGGAGACACTACCTGTATGGTACGAAGAGCACGATCTTTACATACCACAAGAGTTTACAACACATATTCAATCATAAGGAGCTCAACATGAGACGAAGACGGTGGGTCGAGCTACTCAATGACTACGATTGCAAAATTAGTTATCATCCGGGTATAGCCAACGTAGTAGCAGACGCCCTAAGTCAGAAAGAATATTCTGGTCGAAGAGTCCAATCGTTGACAATGACTATCCATTCAAACTTGTCTACACAAATTCAGGATGCACAACTAGAAGCCTTGAAACCTGAAAACATGGTGGGTGAATCCCTTAGAGGAATGGATAAGAATTTAGAATCCAAGGGTGGCGGAGCGTTATATTTCATGGACCAGATCTGGATACCGAAACACGGTGGCTTCCGAGACTTGCTCATGACCGAGGTGCAGAACACTCGATATTCCATTCACCCAGGTTCAGATAAGATGTATCTGGATCTTAAAAACTTATACTGGTGGCGTAACATGAAAGCAGATATTGCTACCTTTGTAAGTAAATTCCTTACTTGCGCAAAGGTTAAGGTTGAGTACCAGAAACCCTCCGGTTTGCTGCAACAACCAGAGATACCAGAATGGAAGTGGGAGCAGATCACTATGGATTTCATAACCATGTTGCCCAAGACAATGGGTGGACTTGATACCATATGGGTCATCGTCGATAGATTGACCAAGTCTGCACACTTCTTGTCTATCAAAGAAACTGACAAGATGGAGAAGCTTACGAGAACATACATTAGGGAAATCGTACGACTGCATTGTGTTCATATATCCATTATCTCCGATAGAGATAGTAGGTTCACTTTGAGGTTCTGGTAGTCACTACAAAGTTCCCTAGGAACAAGGCTGGACATGAGTATAGCCTACCATCCTCAGACCGATGAACAAAGTGAAAGAACCATCCAAACACTGGAAGATATGTTGAGAGCCTGTGTGATCGACTTTGGAAAGACATGGGATACTCACTTACCCCTTGTCAAATTTTACTACAATAACAGTTATCATACAAGCATCAAGGTTGCTCCATTTGAAGCCCTCTATGGTCGGAAGTGCAGATCCTCTCTGTGTTGGGCTGAGGTGGGTGACACCCAGTTAGCTAAAGGATGAATTCCTGACATCGCTCTTATAGCTCTAGAAATCATTCGGGAAAGAACGGAGAAGATCCTTCAGATTCGTGAACGATTGAAAGCCTTTAGACCGACAGAAGAGCTACACTGACAAACACAGGAAACCCTTGGAATTCCTGGTAGGAGACCGCGTCCTTTTGAAAGTCTTACACTGGAAGGGCTTGATACGCTTCGGGAAGTGTGGGAAGCTCAATCCAAGATACATAGGTCCTTTCGAGATTCTCGCTATTATTGGCCCTGTAGCTTACAAACTCAATCTACCCAACGAACTTCGTAACATACATTCTACATTCCACGTCTCAAACTTGAAAAAGTATCTATTCGAT